CGAAATTCCATACTGTAAATATACGTACTTTCCGTCACGATTTCGTACTGTTCAGTCCTTGCCCCAGAGCTCAATCGCTCTCGGGGACAAGACAATTCCGACAGTCACGTTGGCCACTGTACGATAGCGATAGGAGCTTCTGCTGTTCAGACCAGCGTTCAAACATGACTATCCGCACGTTGATCGATTGCGCGTAATCCCTCAAGTGGTATTAAACTTTTTAATGTAAAGCGGAATGTCAACCTGCGACACCAAGCCCCTTCCGATCACGGCCCGACCAACAGCATCAATGTCCGACAGTTTACGATCTCATCTTGTTGTTACACCACCGATACGCAAACACACGGTCACATCGGCGATAATCCCAGTCTTCTGTTCACAACCCACAACACTGCCATCACGATGTTGCAGCTATGTTGCTGACACGCACAAATACAGAACCACGTTGAACGCCGGTTGCACTCGGCATCGGAAAACAGAACTGAACTCAGGACGGAAAGCACCCAGGCTGCCGGCAGCAAAACCTGCCTGTCTTGGACGCAGTTCCTGCGGTTTCCATAACGTTGAAAACGTCGACACAGTTCCGCGTGGTTTCGCTACTGTAATGACTAGTTCCGTGCCGCCCGAGCAGTGTTGCCAACTCAAAAATTGAAAACCCGCAGTCGGAATCCCGAAAACCGCTAAAAAACCGCAAAATCCAAAAACACAGCGCAAAATGACTTTTCAAACTATTTTTTTGCTTTAATTCTTGACAAAGGTATAATAACAGTATAGATCATATTGCCACGCTCGTCGGCGAGCGACCGCGTGGGTGGCCGAGTGCTTACCGTGCTTGACTGTCGCGCGGAATGTCTGGGTTCGATTCCAGTCAGTGGAAAGTTCTTTTATTTGTTCTTTCAACATTGCGTTCTAGTGTGTTCCAGAACATTCTCGTATGATCGAGTTCCGAATGTTCCAGTCGCCGAACAATCTAGGTCGATTGTTCCAGAACCCAACGCGCGTACATAGGACTCCGCGTGCTGATCTGCAGTCAGTCTCGCCTCAGCGTTCGACTCTGCTGTTACGCCGACTTCGACGCCCGCGACGCTCTGTTATTATCTTTTGTACCCTTTTAGTTTTGGCACAAGTTTGCCACATTAAACGTTTATTTATTCCTGTTTACTTATTGGTTTTTGGTCACCACCCGTGACATTTTGGTGGAGGTGCTGGGTACCGCATGCCCGTGCAGCGTTCCCCTCCAAGGGCCCGCAGTGCAAGTCCGATTCCCGGCTCGGTGAGAAGACCACTCACCGCGGAACCTAAAACTCGGACCAGCCGCCGCACCAAGGGAAAGGATCCTGAGTACGGTTCGCTGCTGGACAAGCCCAAGCCGAAGAAGACGACGATGGCCAATCAGTCGCAGAACCCCGCCGCTCCTGCCGTCGTCTACTTACCCGTCGCTCCTCGGACACCGGCTCCCTTCCACGGCGAAAACCACGAAGACATCGACGACTGGGTCCAACAGTACGAACCAGTGGCCCGTCATAACGGGTGCGTACTTCGCCTTGGAAGCAACCGCCCGGAACTGGTTCGAAAACCACGAAGCTTCGATCACTTCCTGGGAGCAACTCAAGGCTGAGTTGCAAAGAACATTCACGAACCAACAACGAAAAGAACGCGCGGAAGAGCTTCTTCAAGCGAGGATCCAAGGCCCTAACGAGAGCATCGTTAGCTTCGTGGAAGACGTCCTGCGACTGAGCAACCGCGCCGATCCTGCAGCATCCGAAGCAAAGAAGCTCAGAGTCTTGATGCGCGGCGTGAAGGAAAACATTTTCGGTGGTCTTGTGCGAAGCCCGCCTACCACAGTCGAAGGCTTCATGACGGAGGCCACCAACATCGAACGTGCCCTTCAAGCACTCGGCCACCCACGCGGTCGCTCGCCGACGAGCGTGGCAATATCAATGTCATCTGAAAGGAAGCTTTCCTTTTGTTGTAACTAGAAATCTGTCACGCCGCAACACAGTTCACCCAGGTCATTCGAAGCCAAAATTGTGGAGTGAGCGCATACGAACATGGCAAGGGACCCTTCAGCAGTGCGTGACTAATCAGACCCGTTCAACTTGTAGAGTCTACAGAGGAGAAAGGTGCAGCGGCCGAAACATGCTTCTTCGTTGCAGCGTGCATGACCAAATCCACATCCTACGCAGATAGTTCCGTTTTGAAGTAGCGGCACATGACTCGTCTGCTATCACCAGGAACCTCCAGTAGCCAGTCTTTAAGTTTGGGGTCTTATAGCCAGTGTTTTCTAAACTTTTGAGCGCACTTCCCGCGCCCATTTCACGAAACAATGACAAAAACGTCAAAGGAAAATTGGAACATTCATGCTGTTCAAACGTGCGCGCACAAAACGGGAAGGCGTGTCCGATATTTGACGTCTTAATGTTTTGATGACGTCACAGGCGTTACTCTCACAAACCAGAACATTACTGAGAGTCAGCGAACACAACTGTGGCTTATTATCCTTATTATTATGGATATGAAAGGTGCATAGTCGACAGTAAATTGTTATAAAACTTCTATACCTCTAAAAAACCTCCAAGATTACATAAAACCGGCTAAAAATCCCGCCGCCCGCAAAACAATCATTTATCCCGCTAAACATAACCAAAAACCACCAAGTTTAGCGGGAAAACCGCTACATTGGCAACACTGCGCGCGAGTCCCGCAATCCGGAGACGGCCATCCCCCACTGTGTACGTGGCGCTGCTGGCACTGCTCCGGAACTTCGCTGTTTCTAGCGGCTTCGTTTGCTCGTTTGATAAAATTAGGGATAAAAACGTCAATGCAACCGAAATGTTCTGCACGTTTAGACTAGAAGACGGAATTACAGGCGGCCTTTGCTGCCGCTGAAGCTCAATCAACTCAACAGCTATTTATTAAACAACGCCCGCGACCTGCTCGAAAAACGAAACCGAAAGAAGATGAGTCGGGAGGGCGAAAGCTTTCTCCCGTCTGCCTGGAGAAGGAGAAAAACGTTTCGTTCCTCCCTGTTTCTCGTGTCCGCTTGGGGGCGCGTCAGTAGAAGGGAGGAAGACGCGCCGTTGCTACTTTTTTCTTCCATTTTTTCTTAGAGTGTATGGTAAGAAGCAGACCATAGAGCTCTGCTGTAAAAATAGAAGCAGAGGGGTTGATTCGCCTAACAAGTTGAACTATTGGGCCAATCATGGAACACCCAGCAGCAGATTCCGTCTTTGTACCATCTGAGTAGAAGCTTACATATTCGGAATATAGACTTTGCAGTGCTAAGAATTCCTGAAGGAACACAGTATTAGGAGTATCAGCTTTCTTGTATCGCGTGAGTGAAAGGTCACACTTAATGACAGGGTGCTCCCAAGGTGCTCCCGCAACAGTAGACTGCACTACCGGGGGCCTCCAATCGAGTGTCATGTTCTCACTGGCACTTTTCAATCTCAAAGAGAAGGGAGGCACAATCGTGGCTTTGTTTTGAAACACCCTTTCAGAGCGCATGTCTTCCACAGCCATTCGCGCAGGGTGATCAGAGATGGACCTGACTCTCAGGGAATACATAAAGCCCAGTGAAAATTTTCTCTTCTCAAGAGACAGCTCGTTGGCCTCTGCATACAGACTTGGCACAGGAGACGTGCGAAAGGCACCTGTCGCCAGTCGCAACCCAAGATGATGGATAGGATCGAGCATTTTTAGAATGGAAGGCCTAGCTGAACCGTAAACAATACTGCCATAGTCCAGTCGTGATCGCACTATCGAGCGATATATCCTCAAAAGGCACGTCCGGTCAGAACCCCAGGATCGGTGGGACAGGACTTTTATATTAAGTGATTTGTGAGCTTTTAATCTTAGATTCTTAATATGGGCACCAAAGGTTAGTTTGCTGTCAAATGTAAGACCCAGAAACTTGTGCTCAGGCTTCACAGAAACTGTGGAATTGTTTAGTGCAAGAACAGGTTCTGGAAGTAGTCCACTTTTCCGAGAAAAGCACACCCAAACTGTTTTATCCGAGGAAAACTTAAACCCATTTTGATTGGCCCAGGTTGATAGCTTATTGATGGTTAGCTGAATTCGTCGCTCACACAGTGACAGATTGCAAGACGACACAGAGATATGAAGGTCGTCTACATAGAGTGAATATTGCACCGATGGGGGAATAGCCAATGCAAGGGAGTTAATTTTGATAATAAACAAAGTGACACTAAGAACGCCTCCCTGAGGAACGCCATTTTCCTGGACAAACACTTTAGATAGAGCTGTTCCTATCTGAACACGAAAGGTGCGCCTGCTCAGGTAGCTAGCTCTCAATGGTACGAAGCATTCGACCACGAATACCCATATCATACAAGCCCCTCAGAGTACCAAAACGCCAGGCTGTATCGTAGGCTTTTTTGAGGTCGAAAAATAAAGATAGGCAATGTTGTCGATGAACGAAGGCCTCACGCACGACTATCTCCAGCCGTACTAAATGATCAAGAGTGGACCGAGACGTACGATAGCCGCATTGGTTCACATCTAGATGTTTATTTAGTTCAAGGAAATACATCAATCTTCTATTAATTATTCGTTCAAAAGTCTTTCCAAAGCAGCTAGTCAAAGCGATAGGCCTATAACTACCCGCACAGGATGGATCCTTACCGGGCTTGAGTATGGGTTGTTGCCATTCTTCAGTCCAATGTAAAGTAGCCCTCGAACCAACTACGATTAAAAAAGTATAAAACAATATCAAGTGTGGAAGGATGGAGATGTTGAAGCATATAATAATGAATACCATCTGGACCAGGAGCCGATGACTCATCCCCGAATTCATAGATGTGACTTGCTCTGAAGTCGAGCTTCAACTTGCTCAAGTCCGTCTTGCGACGAGCAAGCGCGCTTCATAAACGCACCTTAACTTGAACCGATCTTGAACGGAGCTTGAAGCGAACTTGAAGTGCCCGAATTTCAAGACTGGGTTGGACCTATCTTGAACGCGACTTTGTAGTCGTTTCAACATGGCAGCTTGGCGAAGCGACGTCGCCGAGAGGATCTCCGCCTTCGAATTCGCAACTCGCGCGTGCGATATCGTCTTCGGGGGCGCGTTTCCTTTGCCACGAGTACCGCGACCATCAATTCGGGATAGGGAGAACCCAATGGAGCGCTACAACGACGGGCAGTTCCTGGCGCGGTACCGCTTTACGAAGGGAACCGTGCGAGAGCTGCTCGGGATGCTGCCGCTACAAACGAGCACCGACTGCAGGGGCCTTCCGCTGACCCCCATGCTGCAACTGCCGGTCACGCTGCGGTTTTATGGTGCCGGGACCTTCCAGGTTGTGACTGGGGACCTCGTGAACGTGTCCCAACCAACAGTGTGCCGTGCGGTAGGAGTAGTTACGCAGCTGATCGCGAGACACCTGTTCCGGGACCTCGTTCACTTCCCCAGCGCCGCCCAAATCAACACGGTGATGCTCGATTTCTTCGCACTTGCAAAATTCCCCGGCGTCACCGGGTGTACCGACTGCACCCACGTGCGAATCAAGAGCCCCGGCGGCGACGACGCGGAGGTGTTCCGCAACCGCAAGGGTGTTTTCTCAATCATTGTCCAGGTAACGAGTACAGAGTTCGCGGTTTACCGAATTTAGAGTTTAAAGAGCAACGCTTGCGGCGATCGCGAGTTGTTATTCATTGGAGTATGCGCTCATGTTCGACTGCAGGAAATTTGGAAATTCTGCCCCAAACATTGTAGTCAAAGCCCTCTCGTCTTTGCTTCGCTATATGCAGTGGTTGAACTGCTGCGCCAAACTGAGCCAGAACTAATAACCTGATACATGTTGCTCTAAGCGTCTGGCACATGACATGGTTGGCGATGCCACTGAAAATTAAGAAAGTACAGTTTTTTTCCCCTTGATGCTATGTGCAAAAGTAGGGCTGCACGAATTCTATGTGCAAAAAGTAGGGCTGCACGAATATTCTAATTTTCTAATAGTAGTTTCAAATAATACATTATTTGATATTCGCTTCCAAATGAACTGCAATATTCATACTTTTCGAAGCTTGCAATTTTCATATTGACATTGTCAGAAGACATCACTTGAGCAGTTTTTGTAATGAAAATATTTGTCGAGTATTACGACAGCTTCATTCGATGGGACCATTGCCACTAATTTTTCTTACTCATGTCTTCATGTTTCATTTCAACGCAATCTACTTGCAGGCTGTCACCGGCCCCCAGCTGCAATTTTACGATGTGGTTGTGAGCTGGTCCGGGTCGGTGCACGACAGCCGGATATTTGACAACTCCCGTGTGCGGGTGCTGTACGAAGAACGCCGGGTACCAGGGGTGCTGCTCTGCCACCTTCATTTGGTGCTTTGCCACCTTTCATCTGCTGCTCCTCCTCAAGGAGCTTGATTCGGATGGCAGACTCTGCCCTCAGCAGAGAACTTCGTACATCGTTCTCTGCTGAGAGAGCCTGCTCTAGGAGCACCATTCTCCCTCTGGCCGGCCTGCCTTCATCCTGAGTCGCCGCCACCCTGTCGCTGCTGCAGCTTGAAGCAGCTGCAGGAGCAGGTACGGTCTGCTCGGTGGGGGGACCCGGGTCTGCTCCTGTAGCTGCTGTGGCACTGGCACTTGCCTCTGGCTCTGCGACGTCCATAGAAGGGCTGCCAGGTTGATAGTTGTCCCCTGTCACAAGATGGGTAAACCCATATCTGGATTACAAGCCGCTAGCACAAGGTACAATGTTTATAAATTGCACGGCATGAAATGCACTGCAGGTCACGTTGTCCCTGGCTGTAACGTTACGACTGCTGCACTCGGGCGACGCCTAGATTTTCTCGGGCCTCTCGAAGGTTGTCAGAGAAGCTAGCTGTAATCGCGTTTCGCATTCCCGGAGACTTATCTTTTTTGCTTTGCAGAGTTCGAAAACGAAATCCCCTCTAATTGAGATACCGGCCCCAGAATCCAAAAGTGCGGCAAAAGGAAAACCGAGCAAAGTGATCGTAATGTCAATGACGATAGGCTCGGGCTGGATTCGACATTCCGATGGAATCTGTGCTGCGGCCTCACTGCCGCAGCACCGGGACTGTAACGGCTTTCAGCCAGTGGCTGTCTGGTTTCAGCATCGGCGGCCGTGGTAGTTTCCCTGGTTGTTCTGGTTCCAGCCCCTTTCCCGCCGTCTCGTGCCACCTCTTGTTTGTAGTGTCCAGAAGTCTTGGACACTGGTTTCGTTTGTGGCCGGGCTGCTCGCACTCGTAGCAGCAGTCCGACAACAGTTGCCTGCTTAGGCCACCCGCACCGAGGTGCCTGCCTCCAGTGATCGGGTAAAGAACCACTATTGGAAGGCCTCTGCCAGGCTTGCGATTAGCTGTTGTGGGGAGGGCTTGTTCCGTTGTGGCGGGGGTCAATGCTGCTTTGCTGTGGAATTTCGACCGCAGCGTGCCAGTTTTCCCCAGCACTTGCAGGAGCACACTGATAAAGATGGTTCGCTTGGGTAGTGATCTCCGTTGGGCCCCAACTTGCGATAGGGCATGGCCAACGACCTCCCACCTGTCGTGGCGACCCCGCCCGAGATCCTCACAGGGACTGCTGTGACCTCCAGGGACCTCTTGATGAGAGTTCGTCGAACATCTGCTTATCTTGCATGGGCGAACGCCATACATGTCACGCCAACTCTCCCGGTTGATGTGGTGAGGAAGAGAGGTCTCATTCGAACAGTCCACTTGCGTGGAGGCCTCGGGGCATGCTGGTTTGAGTGCGTACTTGGCTGGTGACGGCGGCACGTAGTTCCGCTCAGTATGAAGAGCTTCCTCGATGAGGCAGGCACCCCGGGCTAGCTCTTCAAGGGTCTCAAAGGTATGGTTGATGAGGTAGGCGTGGTATCTTGGGTGGCACTGTCTTCTGACCCGAGCTACTCTGTCCGACTCCGGTGTTTTCGGGTCCGCCCTCTTGAAGAGCTCTTGCATGACCTGAACGTACCGGTCCTGACTTTCGTCCAAGTGCTGCGGCCTTGCCTCGAGCTCTCGGAGAATCTGCGTTGCGTAGCCCACAGGCAGGAACTCTTCTCGAAGCCTTGTCTGGAAGTCCGCCAGGCTCGTGAACGGGGCCTGCAACCCCAACCAGCTTCTAGCACTATCTTGCAACGCCAGCGGGGCAATGTGGTCCATGATGAAGGCTTTCGAGGCACCGGAGGCAAGGTGGTACGTCGGCAACTCCCCCAGGAAGTCTGCCACGGACTTAACGTCGCCGTATCCCTTGTAGACTGGTACAGTCAAGTGTGGTCGGGGCTCTTGCGGCGGGGTCTCCTGCTGGCCAGGCGTGAGGGCCATGCGCTGCATCACGAAGTTGCATATCACCGTGACCCTTTGAGCAGGTTCATTTGTGCCGCTGCGGCCACTGCAGCTTCCTGCTCCCGTGTGAGCATGGCTGCAAGCAAAAAAAAAAAAAGAAACGCCCCCCAGAAACCAACACAAGCGTGCGAAAATATTGCCGCAGTCACAAAACGAACGGTCAAAAACAAACCAATACAACAAACGCGGACGTGACCGACGCACGGGACGGTAGGAAACACTGGGAGTGGAAAAAGGCTTACCAAAAAAAGAAACCAAGCCCCGTGAAATTCCTGCGGGTGAGTAGCATACCACGCTTGGGCGCCATTGTGGCCGGTTAATTTGTGCAACATTACCACAAAGCTATAGAATGGATTCTGTGTTACCAATCCCTTGTGAGGTGCACTCTGTGATGGGGGGGGGGGGGGGGAACCAAGGATCATAAAAACGACATACATGAAAACTGTGAGTTGGACTGAGCAAAAAACGAGAAAGAAGACGTTGTGAACGTGGTGAAGCTGTGAGTAACTAGAAGACGAAGACAGCAAGGCCAAAGCAAGAGATGGGTATAATGAAAAAGGAAGACGTGATGAGAGGAAGATGACACAGGCTTGTGATACGTGAAAAAAGGGCGGGCACGACACGGAACCCAGCTCGACAGCAGTGGTCCTGGCAGCCAAGGAAGAGCCCGGACAGACAAATCCAGGCCCGTGGGGCTGTTAACCAAGCTTGCTGGGAAACATCCGCTTGTGCTAAGCGAGCCTGCCAACTCCATGCCAATGCCGACGTGCAACACCGTGCCGTAAGCGGATTTGCCGAACTGAACTTTGTTTATATATCTACACCGCTTTATTTCTTACTTTCTTTTCTTACGACTGTAAATATCTTCCGTCTTATCTTCACCGTTCCGGAATTCTGAGTCCCTTTATTTATATTTTTCCATCACACGCAACCTACAAGTGGCCTAAACTGCAGATCGACGTGTCTCAACACTGTACCTGCATACTCGTACACTGGGTCGCAGTCGACCATGCCCTCCAGCAGCCGCACCACTGGCTCGTTCTGGACAGGGGGCAGGTAGGCCGCTCCGTCGGAGTCGTTATCGTTGTCAAGGCGGGTGGCCATGTGCCCTGCTACTGCCCCCACAAGCACACAAATTGCGCTCATGGGTGTGGGGGGCGGCCCCACTCCTAAGGAACAATCGTGTATGTCAAGTCACTTGATTAAAGCAGTCGAGATATAGGCACATACTGAATATTCTAAAGGAACACTCCTGTACACAGGCGAAGCTGGGACGTTTTAGCACGATATTTTTGTGACACGGGTAAAAAATAGAAAGGTAGGTTGATCAATAAGGCAATAACGCCGTAAGAGTAAACTGCAACAATGCCATATTATGCCATTTCGCATGCAAAACAACAATTTCCCCGCTCCCTACGGAAGATATGTCGACATCTGCTGTGTGCATCAGTACAACGGAGCTAAAGTGGATCTAAACGGAAGCGGGATAATCCACGGCACTCGGAACATTGCGCATATCACGATCTTTCTATATACTGAACTGAAGGAAATGCGGAATGACACACGCTGACAAAAAGGAAGCGCGAAAATTTTTCCCAATATGATCTTTCGCCAATCGCAAATACTAGAGTAGATCGATCACTCCGAGTAACATGGACGAGCAGGGACAGAACACTCACCTGTCTTGTGGGTCTTGCGCTTCTTGTCCGAGCGCTCGTTCTTCCACTTTTGTTTGAGATTCCCCCAACACTTCTTGAGCTGATTAGAGTCCCGTGGATTAACACCCGGTAAGCAGTTATACTCATTGCAGAGTTTCTCCCAGGTCTCATTTTTGAGGTTCGAAGATACGGAGTCTGTCTTTTTGCATTCAATGATCGTTTTATGCTTGCCGACAAGCCCCGATAGAATAGATATTTCATCAGCGGTGAAGCGCGGCGATTGTTTTTTTTAGTGGCCATTCCACTGCTGCTGAAGGGTTGGGGGAATCTCAAACGTTTTACCGTTTAACAGAAGAAAACTTGCACAGAAGGGAAGGCTGAAGCGGCCGGACGAGCGAAGAGCGTGCTTGGCGGCTATTTGGTATGCTGCTAGACGAAATCATCATTATGTCCAGAAAACGCGTACAATCGCTAAAATAATTAAACTTCCCATTACCATCTCTCGCGATTTATGCTTGGTAAACACATGCTATAAAGAAAATGTAGAGAAGTACCTTATTTTAAAGTCTGAAAAAACTTTTACGAGAAAAACTGCAGCCTACTCTCGCTCCCAGGCGAGGAGGGCCGCGACCGCTCGCGACTTGAACGGGACTTGACGAAGGAAGTTCGCGGGAGCGTCTGTGAAACGTAAAACGCAGCTTGGGCGTTTTCAAGTCAAACTTGGTGTTAAGGCGGACTTGAGCAAGTCGAAGTTCGGCTTCAGTTGAAGTCACATCTATGAATTCGGGGGTTAGAGTTTTGGAGCACCATGTTCAGTTCGTTTAAGGTAAAGGGGGCATTATAAGCTTCGCGTTCACCACCGGATGTTTTCAGTACCATACTTTCAGCTTTCCTTTTATGTTGCAGAAAAGCAGGCGAGTAATGCTGCGAGCTGGAAATGAATTCAAAATGCTCGCCAAGGATGTTGCCCTGCTCTTCAAGATTGCTTGGGCATTTTCCATTTTTGGAAAAAAGTGGAATAGTGAAAGCATGATATGAGCCATTTACTTTATGAATCCTGTCCCATACTTCCTTGGAAGAAGTACTACTATTGATAGAGGACGCATATTTTTGCCAGCTCTCGCGTTTCGCTTTCCGACGAATGTACCTAGCACGAGCTTTCATTTTTCGGAAAGATATCAGGTTACCCCGAGTTGGATAACGTCTTAGAACACTCCAAGCTTTGTTTTGCTGTTTGCGACTCTCTTTACAGTCTTCATTCCACCATGGCTTCGGTCGTCTAGGGAGCTGTCCAGATGACCGCGGGATTGAGAGTGACGCTGCAGTGAGAATGGGAGATGTTAAAAGATGGCTGAGCTCATCAATCGAAAGCTGATCGAGGCGAGAACAGGCCAGGAGTGACGAC